ATGTTCGTCACTGCTGCTTACCAAATATCTAGTTTCGTTTGAAGCTGGTAGAAAATAGGAAAATAAAGCTCATTTTCTTATGGATTTATGAAAAGAAGTGAGATTAATAAGAAAGAAAATAAGAACATTCCATTTTTAATCAACTATTAGATTCCATACTCGTCGATAAATTTAGTTTTCACTGCTATACCGTGCATACATAAATGTTATATTATTGATGATTGGGTCAACGTTATATAGCCAGTGTCTGTGGTGTAAAGGTTAGATACTTCCCCGTTGCATTCAGAACGTATCGAGTTCGATTACCACGTGGATTGTTTTTATTTAATCAAGTATCTCTGTCTGCGGAGCCATTGATTCCCTTAGGGCCCATGTTGACCATGACGGGCAGGGTCGGATAACCCCACCTCCTACATGGCCTAAAGTGTTAATGTGGGCGTAAAATCGGTATTTATCTTTGTCGAGATAACTACAAACAACAACTGATGACAGCAACTAACAACTAATAACAACAAATAACAACTGATAGCAACAAATAACAACTGATTACAACAAAATAACGACAAATATCAACACAAACATCCTAATTTATTTGCTTCTTTTTTTACTTGGTTTTTATGGTAGTTTGCCTGCATCTGTATTTATTTTGTCGAGATAACAACAAATAACAACTGATAACAACTAATAACAATTGATAATGACAAATAACAACTGATAACAACTGATAACAATATTAAATATTACTTTCGATTTTACTTTCGAGTTTAATGTAATGTAATTTTTTTTAAAGGAACGCAACTCCCCGGTCATCGCTAAAGAATAGTAGAATAATCTACTTCCGATAGTTGCTCGGATTTGTGCTCGTAAAGTATGGTCCTGGTTGACCACATGAATATTGATTTTTGAGGCTGGAATCAAAGTATTTGTGTTTATCAGTTGTTATCAGTTGTTATTTGTTGTTACCTTGACAAAGATAAATTCTGCGTAAAATACCAACGAGAGAGAGAAAGAGAGAGAGAGAGAGAGAGAGAGAGAGAGAGAGAGAGAGAGAGAGAGAGAGA